ATGGACTCAAGTGTGGCAGCGGTAGTGAGGTTGGCCCAGGATCGGACATTGTTTCGTTCTGCTGTGCATGGGGTCGCTATGAGTCAGTTCTGACTAGATGGCACCTGACAACAACAAAACTATGTAAGAAATACTGAGCTTCTTAAAGACAGAGTAAAAAATTTACAGCTAGTCACCAATAAGAAGTTCATTTCATCCAAAGAGGTTGTGAAATTGCCTTCTGTGGGATACTTATTTGATGTGGTTTACGTATCACCCAATCTGGGTTTAAGCATCATGAATTTAGACTAACACAAACCTGTAATATTTTGAGATTGTAACACACATTTCCCAGGCTTACTTAAATAATGACTGTTATTTATAAATCCATGGAAGAAGTAGCATCTATCTTTACCTCTCACAGAAATAATCAAAAGAGAAATATTTGATGATTTTGTGAACTTCTGCGATCACTGTCCTATCAAAAGTGAAGTGCGTAATAGTGGAGGAGCTGCCGTGGGTGGAAACAGGAAACATTGTTGCAAAATGCTCTTGTTACATTTTTTTTCAGGTTCTGCTCATTGCATATTGATTCTAATTAGCACATGTTGTGCCTTAGCTAGTAGCTCCCCTTGAGCTGTGCTTGGAGAGGGTTTGTTTTTTTTTTTTTTTTAGATTCCACCCTGCTCCTAAAAACTGGCACCTCCTCCCTCCTCTCTCTTTACAAATGTTACAACACAATCAGAAATTTCCTCTTATCTTTCCTTCCTGCATTTTCAGCAGGTTCCCTTGCGTCAGAAGCCGAGGAGGAAAACTCAAGGTAATTAGATCTCTTTTGTTTCTTTATCCTCCTTCTTTCTGTGTGTGAACGTGGCTTTGCTCTTGGATGCCTTCTTTGGGATCAGATGTTTGTCTGCCCTAATGCTAATATCAGAAAGTGAATGGCAGGTTATTTTTTGGATATCATTTTTTTTTTTTTTTTTGGATGGATTTTAAGAAATGACGACATGCTGTTCATTTGAATTAATCCCTTATGGTATGTCAATAGAGCTTAGAAATTCTGGCACCGGGATGGAAGTCGCTGTGATTTTAGGTGGGCATTAACCCTTCAATATCTATTGCATAACTACAGCTATTATTGTTTTAGGAGCTATAGTGCCTGCCCATAGAATGATTTTAATTTTGTAACTTATTCATGGAATAAGACCGGCATGGTGTCTTTGCCACATCCGATACCATCTAAGCACCAAATGAATGTGTAAAAATAAAACAGATAAAGGGCTTTCTTTTTGCATTTTTTTTTTTTTTTTTTTGCATACATCTGCTATGTGAAAAACTTCTGTCAGGAGGGTAAACAATGAAAAGTTACCTTCCAGTCTATCACATCCTACAGAGTAATACTTTCCCTACCTCTTCCTGTAATTGCTGCAGGGTTTTTCAGCATGAGTCGCAGAAGGGTTTCATGTAAAGATCTGGGACACGCTGACTGCCAAGGGTGGCTATACAAGAAAAAGGAGAAGGGGACTTTCCTGAGCAACAAATGGAAAAAGTTCTGGGTGGTCCTCAAGGGGTCATCCCTGTACTGGTACAGTAATCAAATGGTGAGTCCACGTTCTTCCTCCAGTTCTTAGTTCTTTAACAAAGAGGGATTCAAACTCAGGGATCAGATGGTTCCTATGGAACAGATGGTTTTGATTTCTGCTACTTGCAACAGAGCAAATAGATAAGTTCTAGAAGCCATTTCTGGTCCACTAGCTATAGAGGTTATTTTATTGTATTTAACAGAGGAATAAACCATACTGCATGAACAGTGTTTTTTTGGGGAAAGGAAGTGGGGGGTCCTCATTTATATCCTTGCTAAAGGAGGCTTTGGGGTCCTATTAAATAATACTATTCCATGAGAGATTTGAAGATTCAGGATGTATTTGAACCACACAGAGTGTGGAAATCTCACATTGCCCAGTCTCTATCTGAATATGGAATCAGCCTTACAACCCATTAAGGATGTGGTGCTGTAGGATAAGCACTAGACTGCTAACTGTGAGGTCAGTGGTTCAAACCCATGAAGTGCTCCTTGAAAACTTTATAAAGCGATGCTATGAGTCAGAACCGACTCTATGGCACTTAGCAACAACAAGGGTGTACTGAATTCCCTTTAGAAGAGTTACTATTAGTTCTTCTCCTTGTTTACCTCTGGTCTTCTTTTGTTATTGTTGTGTACCTTTGAGTCGGTTGTGACTCATAGTGATCCTGTATAGGGTTTCCAAGAATGACTAGTGGGTTTGAACTTCAGATCTTGTGGTTAATAGTCTAATACTTATCCTACAGCACCACACCAGGACTCCTGTCCTTTATGAGCCTGAATTTAGAATTGTTAATCATGTGCCATATTTATGTTGGTGTCTGAGGTCTCTTGTTGCATGTCTTGTTCGGTGATGGCGTTGAGCTACTTACTGAAGCTTTGATAACAATTGACAAGATGTTTGCCTTTTGTATTCTTTAGTCAGGACATTAGTGTGGTTTGCTTCATAGACTAGTTTTCCATCGAAAAGGGCTGGAAATAAAGTTATAATTAGAGGGTGGACTGATCTTCCAAGACTTGAAATATTTTGAAAACAACTTTGTGATCGACTCTTGATGAGTAGAGAATTTTCCATGTAGGGTTTCTCTCCACTAGCTCCAGAGTAGTCAGCTGCTGACTTCAGAGGAGCTTGACTTTCTCTTTATAGTATACAAAGAGGCTTTAAAAAATGTGTGGAAAAATTGAATGAAAAAGTAATGGAATTTTTCCATGAACTTTTTGAAGCTACCTCACAAATGAAGGATATCTTCTAACCAGTTAGGGAAAATGACTTAGAAATTGCCCGTATACCAGAAAATGTTATTTATTTATTTATTTGTTTTTTAAATGTCACACCATTCTTTTAAAATGGCTTTCTGCATGCTTAGCAGCCAAACTGTAAGAAGCTCTGGTAGCGTAGTGGT